CCATTTATTCTTCCTTGAGCCAGGTTGTAACATTGATCAAATTTAAGAATTGTACAATCAACAGTTTTATTGCTATCATTGATTTAAAAAAAAAAAACACCTTTGAATCCTAGTTTGTGACCAAGGGCAGTCATGATAACGGTATTATCGCAATATCTGTAGAAAATGAACAACCTGAGAGCCCGGCTCTACATGTTGATTTTCTCTGGTGAGTGGGTTATGTCTACCTGTCCTTGGAGTCCTTGGAATCGCCCGTTTGAGCACGAGACTGGTGTTGATGGTAGCAGTTCCAGTTCTTCTGGCTTTGACCTGCTCTTCTTTCCATAGGCAGTTTAGGTTTTACATTAGAGGCAGAAGGTGGATGTACCAGATTGTTACTGTACAAAACAAATCAGTCACCGTTGCAAGATTGTTTCCATCCTCACTGTTGTTCTCCTGCCATCTCTGGAGGTGTCTTGGATTAGTGGTTAATAATGAGCCAGATACTGTACCTTGTGGAGGTTTCTCTGGTGAAAGCCCTAGCACAGCAAATACCAGATACTTCAAGTGCATGAAGGTGATACAATGTGTGGGCCTGTGTTCTTTACGCTGCCTTTTCTTGTTCCGTTAACAGGTTTGTATCCCTGAGGCAGGGAAGCCTCGGGCCAGTGTGGAGGTTCCAAAGCATACAATAAGTCTGTTCTAATGACTCCAGGTCCCTTGGGAAGCCTATTTAACCTTCAAACCCACACACTAATTTACGTGTGTGTGTTCTGTGTGTCCACAGAGATGAGTGGAAGCTAATGAGGGACTACCTCTGCTCAAAGGGCACACTGGGTGCTAATGCTCAGCGCTGTGATAAGAGATTTGTGGGAGGGCAGAGCATATCAAAAGGAAACAGTGGACTAGCATCTTTACAGCAGCTGCAGAAAACCCTGTGCCTGTCTCTGTACATTCACATTATGATAAATATGCTTCTTACTCTACACAGTCAGCCCCAAGACTGATGTTTCTGTAAAAACAGCATATAGTATTCTGTTACTGGATCCAGAGACTCCCACTATTCCCAAGTATGTATACTGGTGTTGTTTCTCCCCATGAAGGTTTGTTTTCTCCAGCACAAATACCATTTCCTTTGTTTTGTTTTTTATATTTTGTATAAGGAAATTACCCTTATAACACTAAAAGAAAACCATATCAGTCTCCCCCTGTAATTACATCCGTCCTCCTGAATTAAGCTTACTGTTGCTCATCAGCAGATTGTATTGTGATGGCTACTCCTACAGTTATTAGTGTATAGATTGAAACAAAGTGGAAAGCAGACACAGCGGCATTCATTCTAATACTCTGTGTCCAGTTTTGAAAGAAAGAAAGAAATAAGCCACCTTTTTATCATATTAATACTATGTCAGTTTTAAATACAATATATAGTCTGATGGTGGTGAACAAACACATTGTAAAAGATGTTAGGGCAAGGCTGGCAATCATTAGGGCCCGAGCACTGACCGTGCGAAGTCCCTATTGTAATTGAAGGAATTCTTGTTATTATTATTCCTCCCAAACGAAAGCATATTTGGAGGCTGCAACATGCTCGAAAACTCACGAAACATGCCACACATGTCAGCTGTGGCAAAAATTTTCGTATTTTCTAGGGGTCCACTATGAGCATGGCAAAATGGCCCCTCATGGGGCCCATAAACTGTACCACGGGGCCCCTTTCAACAATATGCATAAAAATCAGCACACGCCAAGATCTTATCCAGACGAACAAAAAATTCAGTGGGCGCCATATCCCAAACCCAATGGGAAGTCGGCCATTTTGGATTTAGCGGTAATTTCTGGCGATTTGCACATGTAATTCAACAAACTCCTCCATGGAATTTATCGGATCGACTTCAGATTTGGACACAGCCATCTAAAGACATTCATGATTAAAAGTTGTGCTATTTACTCGCCATGAAAGAGGGAGTTGTCATAACTTCTGCGTACATGATCCGATTTCAACAAAACTTCACATGTTTGATAAGAGTCCCGCCCTGAACACGTCTATGTGATAATATTCAGTAATAGTGAGAGCGCCACCTAGTGGTAAAAGGAAATGTCACGTTTTATACTTCCATGTTCTACTTCTAGCAGGATGATCAGATCCAGCTGAAATTTTGTCAGGAAATGCAAAACATGTTGTTGATGATGTTTCATGATTGTGGTGACGGTTTGTGAAAGGGCGTGTCCGTGGCGTGGTGTGGTGTGGCGTCCAATTTTGATGGACCACCAGAACACACAAATTTGCTATAACTTGAGTGTACATTGTCCGTTCGGCTCCAAACTTTACTTGCCTGATAAGAGTCCTGAACACTTCTATGTGATAATATTCAGTAATAGTGAGTGCTCCCGATGCTGTGCATCGGTGTGTGAATGTGAATGTGTATGAATTAGTTAGTTCCTGTTCGATGGGCTTTGCCTTCGCTGTGTCAATGTGTGTGAAAGCACGAATGTAGTGTGAAAGTGCTTGGAGTGGTAGGAAGACTAGAAAAAATTTTGATCTGATTTACATGAAATTTTCATGTTGTGGTCCGCATGTGTTACACCGGCAGGTGACCCGGTCGCAGCACACCCCGAGTTGCGTGGAGTGCAAGGGCCCGTTCATCACTGCTTGCAGCTTTAATTTATAATTTTGTTATTGTCTCAATACTTTCTGACTTCCCCATCGTCGTCTGCAGCTCTCAGTTCTAAGGGTGTGAGAAAATATCAAAAAATATTGTATTGTGATATTCTGTTTGGTGATATGTATCAATCGTCAAAAACACTGTATTATTGTATCTGGTTGCATTAGAAACTAAATGTATTTTTTTATTCAGATTTTATGCAAATGGTGGTGTTTTCTTTTTATACTATACTATACTATACTATAATCTGCTGTTTTTCTTTATACTATACTACTCTTCTAAAATTAGATTAAAAATAAGAAATCGCAGTATCGCCTACCTTACAGTTTCGCAATATATTGTAACCCCTGTATCGTCATACGTATTTTATCGGCAGACTCTTGCAAATCCCCAGCTCTACTCAGCTCGATGCCCATTGTTTCCTATTGAAAACGTAAATCTTCAAACACACACACACACACACACACACACAGATATATATATATATATATAGTTTAAGGTTTTAAAAAAGTCTCTGTAATTTCCTAAAACTGAGTCTATTTTCAGTGGCTGATTAATACACATGTGGTGCTCTAGTGCAGTCGTTCCCAAACTTTTTTCCCAGATGTATCCCCACAGTCCTGTCAGATGAACTTAAGTACCCCACCAATTATATTCCAACTAGTGATACCATTTTAAATTGGGCTGACAATATTTTTTCATACAGTTGAACTGTCATTCATGCTTGTGGCACAAGCTGGATGTTTCAACCATGTATCCACTTTAAGCTAACTTTTTCAACTATTTATGCATTACTAGTGGCTATTTCTGTGTTTTTTAATTAATTAAGTTACTCCACAATCTTTTCAAGTACCCCAGGTTACTGCAAAAACAGCCCTTCTAGAAAAAAGCCAAATATTCTTAAATATTATCAAATGTTCTTTTATTGAGCAAAAAAAAAAAAGATGCCAATGGGGGAAGGCAATTTTCTTGTTGGCTGGATATCATAAAACTAACATAAATATTTAGCCACTGAAAGACTGTTGTGGGCCATAGTAAAATGGCAGAAATGTGAGCAAGGAGTGCTTATAACAAGCAATGAAAGCTCAGTTATTTAAGATAGAATTTGTTAAAATAAGTATTTTGGTCAATTTATTCCTCTGCTGGGATATTATGCAAACCATTGTTGTAACTTGTTAAATTGAGCTCAATATTAGCTGTAATATCTTATTAGATATTTTATTACAACAAGATTTATTTTGTAATGCAAAACACGCTAGACAAGATTATTTTTCTTTTTTTAGACAAAAAGTAAGACTAATTTCCCAGAAAAAATGCAGTTTTACTTTCTGGACATTTTTTTGTAGTGTAGGGTTAGTGTACCCTTGGTTGGGCATCACTGTTCTAATTAGTATTTGGTTGAGCAGGACGGAGGTCCAAATAAACCACAGTGTGTTCATGGTAATGAAGGAACATGTTACCCAGTGAAACAGTGGCGTATTGATGTGTTTTTAATTGTTTTGGACAGGCTTACTCGAGTATTACCAGACTTACCATTTGACTTGTATTCATTGATATTCAGTAAGAGATGTTGACCATAGCTTGTATGGGATGATGATCAACACAGGACTTCATTGATCCTAACACTCTTTTAAAACAGTTTCTTTGACACCCCCCAACTCACATCTACACAATTGCTGAATGTTAAGTAAAACATGGCTTTATTGTTGTGCTGATAGAATTAGCACTGTGGAAATACACATTATACAAAAATAATGCTAAACACGAAGAAAGTTTAGAGTTTGTAGAGCAAATTAGCAGTTCAGAACAACAAACAGAGAAGGTCCTTGCTGAAATATAATAAAGGATGATAAAGGATACTTATAAAACAGTGAAATGTGAAATAAAGGCCTCTCTTCCTAATATAAGTCTGTCTCAGATAAAGGCCACTATTTGAGAATTCACAGTCGTCATAGTGTCACTTAAAATGATTATTTGTCTGGTCCTGGGCCCTTCTGTTTTGGTCCCCCACCTCTCAAGTCTAAAGCTTTGGTGGTTGGGTAAGTTTCAGTTTAACAGTCTCAAACACAAGCCTAATACCAACCATCAGCAGCAGCAACATCACTGCACATAAATCGGTTCACCTCATTTCACAGAATTAATCATATTTATACATATGTGTACACCTCTGCCCTCCTTCAGTTTAAGAGTATCTAATAATAGCTCATAAACAAAGATCAGATTGATGATTACACTTCTCTCCCACTCCCATCTTCACGCCCCTTTTCCTCCCGTCCTCTTTATCATTCTCTGTCCCTCGTTCACCCTCTTCTGTCTCCCACTCTTTCCTTCTCTTCTCCTATCTCTGTCCTGCAGCTGTCAGAGTTATTTGTCTCCTTTGAGGAGAAGCCTCAGGGTGCAGCCTCCTTAGCCCAGGTCCACAAGGCAGTGCTGCATGATGGGAGGACAGTGGCCGTCAAAGTCCAACACCCCAAAGTCCAGAGACAGAGCTCCAAGGACATAGCGGTGATAGAAGTAAGTCTGTTGAACTACTTTGAAATAACTGAAGAGGTGTTGGGGTTTCCAGATGGCTTCCCTGCACACAAAATGCAACTCGTGTGCAAGGCAGGAAAAAAGATATAAAAAAGTTCAGATCAGTTTCAGGCCTTTCAATCTGCACATCATATTAGAGCAAATTATGGAGGGACTGTAAGCATACAGTATAGGAAGAATATGGATGAATATGGAGCAGAGTTTCTAGTTTTAGTTCAAATTCTAGTTGCAGAATTATGAACCATTGTAAGACTTTTAGCACTAGCACACAGCAGGCCTGACAAATAGGCATTACAATAATCAAATCTGGACAAAACAAACTCGTGAATTAGGGTTTCTGCATCAGCCATGGACAGAAAAGACAGAATGTTTTGTAGGTGAGAAAAGGCAATTTCTTTAATGTGGTCATCAAAAGAGAGAATAGGATCAAACCTAAAACCAAGATTCTTGCTTCCAAGTATACATCCCAATATGCTGAAACGTTACACTGTCATGTAATAAGTTATTTCAACTCCAAAAAATTGTTGAAATGGATTTCATTAAATATTTTAACACAAACTCAATTTTGGAAGTTGACAGATTTTTGATGAAGCAGCTTTTACTAGTAATTTTAAGTGACACTAACTTAATTTTTTAAACTACAGAAACATTCTGATTAAGTACTTATTACTAGGTATTTTGTTTTCACAGTACAATTAAAAATGACAAAATTAAGTCAGTGTCACTTAAAATTACTAAAGCTACTGGAGCAAGAATGTTTTCCAGTTAGTTTTAAGATTTCCGATGTAATTAGCCTCAACAATTTTTTTTAGTTAATTGAACTTATCTGGTTTTAGAGTAAAATTCAAATACTTTTTCTTCACATTTCAATAATACCATCTCAAATTAATAGAACCTTTTTAAGTCCATGAAACATCTAACCCCACCCTCACACCGTGTCTACACTGGAGGCGTAGCATGGATAGCTTGGTAGCAAAGCAGGACTGTAGGTCACCATAACATTGAGGAGGATCTATTGTCAGAAATGGAATATAATATTCATAGGTGTGGTTTCATTACTGTATAATCACCTGAAAATAGGAATCGTCAGGTTTTCGTTACCCTAGAATGAGCTGTTTTTATCTACAGAGGGAGAGGGTCCTCTGCCATGTTGAAGCGCCATGTTTCTACAGCAGCCCAGAACGGACAAACCAAACACTGGCTTTAGATAGGGCCACCGTAGTTCTGCTTCATGCTTGGTTGAGTCAAGGGGTTTCAGTTGGTTGAAACTTGACTGCTAGATGCCCCTAAATCTTACACACTGGTCCTTAGAAATGGAAAGAAACGAACAAATGGAAGCAAAATTTTCTTGAAACGTAAAATACATACACTTCGAGTTAAGTTAACACACGTATAGCGCGTGTGGCCTGTGTAGACAGTCTGTGCTGTGAAGCGTTTAGAAGACACTATGGTTGCCACAAAACTCAACCCAATCTAGAGCCAGTGTTTGGTTTGTCCCTTCTGGGCTTCTGTAGAAACATGGTGGTTCAACATGGCAGCCTCTCCAGAAGGCGACCTGCAGTGAACTGAAGAGAAAAACAGCTCATTTTAAGGTAACAATAACACGATTTCTATATTGAGGTGATTATACACTAATGAAAACATAGCTATGAATAATATATTCCATTTCTGACAATAGATCGTCTTAAGTGTTACACAGTGCACCTTGAAAGATAAACTAACACATTATAAAGAGCAGAACACTGCTCCTGTACTATACTATAGGAGTATAACATTGCTATTGTTTTACCTGTAGCCACACTCTGGACAGTAGTAATATATATTGGCATGTGTCAGCCACTGAGAGGATATCACTGTATATGTACGCGCCTGTTTTAGTGTAATGACAGTGATTCTGATTTGTCATTTGAAGGTGTTGTTGAGGGCCGTCCATTGGCTCTTCCCAGACTTTGCCTTCATGTGGTTGGTGGAGGAGGCCAAGAAGAACATGCCGCTGGAGCTAGACTTCCTTAATGAGGGACGCAATGCTGAGAAGGTGACCAAAATGTTGGCCCACTTCCCCTTTCTCAAGGTACGCACGTTAAAATGTGATTTTTTTTTCCCACTTGGATTTTATAATAACAGGCTTATGGAGTTCACAATGGGATTTATTTTTGATGCACACATACTAGTAAACAGCTGGTAATAATGGTCTCTTTGAATGTAAGGCCATAGCATTTAAAATTGCACTCAGTACAGTTAATAGAGGTCAGAATGTGTGTGACAGCTTCCTCTGTACTGCCTCTCAGCTCTTCCTGAATTCTAACAGAGCGGGGTTAGCAGAACGCAGCAAATCATATTTCTTTTGCTAGACAGAGTTGGACTTCATGTCCATTATGATTTAATTTCCTGGTGTCCTTTTTCTTAATACGTCTGTTTGAGAACTTTTATTAGCTCTGGTGAATGTGAATTAGACGTCTTTTTCCCAGCTGTCTTTCATTGTTCGATGTTCAAACCCAGAGAGCTAAAGCATTTGTGGTTTTTGTATTCTTTTCTGTCATTCACTTCTCTCTATTCTGCATTTTTGAAATTGTATAAGTTGGCATGTGATAGAGACATAAAACTTGGCAGACTGAAAGATAATTGTGTGCAAATGCCTTCCAATGCATCCAGTAAAACTCTGAAATTAACATAATAATTAAAAAGTCAAATTTCCAAACTTTTGCCAAGCCATAACTCCTGCTCTTAGATTTTCTTGAATCTTGGTACTTTTTGATCAGTCAGCATTAAACTTAAGTTTCACTTAAAGAAGTACTCTAGATAGATCAGTGCTGTATATCTCACAACACTGAGCGTAGTCCTTCATTGCCTCATCCTTTGAACACCACAGCCCCTATACTCCCCCTCTGAACTTTTCTTATAGTTTGTATAAGTTTAGTTTAGATATAGAGATACTGTGGCAAGAAAAAGTATGTGAACCTTTTTGAATTTCATGGTTTTCTGAATAAATTTGTCATAAAATGTGATCTGATCTTCATCTAAGTCAAGGGTATTGACAAATAAAATGTGTCTAAAATAATAACACAACATTTTTTTGATCTTTCATGTCTTTATTGAGAACAACCAAAAAAACCTCATAGTGCTTGTGGAAAAAGTATGTGCACCCTTGAGTTAATGACCTCAAAAAAGCTAATTGGAGTCAAGTTTTAGTACACCTGGAGTCTTGTTAAGATAATAAGTTTGGAGGTGTGGACTACAGCTACTTTGACTGATAAAAACCCCTCAAACTTTTGGAGTTTGCTCTGCACAAGAAGAACACGCTTATGTGAGCCATGCCTCGCCAAAAAGAGCTTTCAGAGGATCTACGATCAAGAATTGTTGATTTACATAAAGCTGGCAAGGGTTACAAAGTTATTTAAAAGACTTTAGAAATTCACCAGTCTACAGTTAGGCAAACAATCTACAAATGGAGACACTTTGGGACTGTTGCTACTCTACCAAGAAGTGGGCGCCCAGTCAAAATGACACCAAGAGCACAACGAAGACTCATCAAAACAACCCCGAATGACAGCCAAAGATTTGAAGGCATCATTGGAACTTGCGAACATCTCTGTTCATGAGTCTACAATACGTAAAACACTGAACAAGCAGGGTATCCTCGGCAGGACACTACGAAGGAAGCCACTGCTTACTAAAAAGAACATTGCTGCACGCCTGAAGTTTGCAAAAGAGCACATTGACACTCCACAGCGGTATTGGCAAAATGTTTTGTGGACTGATGAAAGATTGAACTATTTGGAAAAAACACAGCACTACATCTGGCTTAGAAAGGGCATATCATCCCAACCATAAAGTATGGTGGAGGAAACATCATGATTTGGGCCTGCTTTGCTGCATCAGTGCCTGGCCGGCTTGGAATGATTGAGGGGAAGAGGAATTCCCAAGTAGAGGTGGGCGATATGTATCGTTTGCGATAATATCATCATTGTTGTTTTGATGATGTGAAAATTTTCATTATCGAGTATTTAAATTACTTCGCCAAAAATATTGATACGCACGCGGAAACTCCTCACATCCACTTAATACACGGTGCAGCAACACTCTCTACAGCATGGCAGGATTCAGTCACACGACTAGTGGGCCTACGTGATCACATGACTTGATCACGTGACCGCTCGCTAGCATCCTCCTTGCAACAGTTTAGCAGCACGTTGTGATGGTAGAGAGAAAATGCAAGCACCTCCAGTCCCTGAAGCTACCGGTACTTCAGATGATTTAGTGCCGAGACGTGGGTCTACCTCTCTGGCATGGAAATTATTTGGTTTCGAAAAGACTGATAAGGGTCTGTGTCCACCAAACACGCCACAGAATGGCTTCACAAAAACAAAATCCGCCTTTTGGAGTGGCCAAGTCAGAGCCCAGACCTCAACCCAATAGAGATGCTATGGACTGACTTGAAGAGGGCCATACACATGAGACGTCCAAAGAATATGACAGAGCTAAAGCAGTTCTGCCAGGAAGAATGGGCTAAAATTCCTCCAACGATGTGCAGGTCTGAGTCACAGCTAGAGGAAGCGCCTGGTTGAGGTTATTGCTGCCAAGGGGGGGTCAACCAGTTATTAATGCTAAGGGTTCACTTAATTTTTCCACTGCCATTTTGAATGTTGAATGAGTGTGTTTAATAAAGACATAAAAGATCAGAATCTTTTTGTGTTATTATTTTTAGACACATTATGTTTGTCAATACCCTTGACTTGGATGAAGATCAGATCACATTTTATGACAAATTTATTCAGAAAACCATGAAATTCCAAAAGGTTCACATTAATGGATGACGTGGAGGTCATTAATTCCTGATAATGGACACCATTATCCAGATTCAGGCAAATTTATTTCCTGGTATATAATGCAAAAATGCTTCTAGTTTGTCTAGTAAGCTGGATTCTAACACACACACACACACACACACACACACACACACACACACACACACACACACACACACACACACACACACACACACACACACACACACACACACACACACACACACACACACACAGACTTATCTGAGAGTTGTGGATGAAAACTAATCAGAGTCCCAGAGAGAGAGGAAGAATGTTTGAAGCCCACTTTAAAGACAGAGGTAAGATGAGGGGCAGGACTCAGGTTATTTGACAGGCTCCTCCACAGTCTGCAGATTCAAAGCACCTCGACCACATTTGCATTTTATTCACAAGAATTCACTGCCAGATCATCTGACTAGTCTGGGTGACTGATAATCCGTCAATAAGTTATCTTGGAGCCAGTGCAGTTGTGTGTGAGTGTTTTTCCTATATTGATACAAATGCAACCTTACCAGGATATGTTCTGTTGCTTATGCTTGTATACTTTCCTGCTGTAAAATTGTTTGCAATCTAATGATAGATTAGATAACATTTTATTGAATTAATATGTAGTATCCAATCTGATAATCAAATTCAAATCATTTTAAATCCCTTATTTAATCAATTCATTGTCAAATACATAATTAATTCTAATATTAAGGTTTTTCCAAATATATTGCATATCTGTTATTTAGTAAAAAGGCTGCCTGAATGTTGTGTGTATTACCCTTTGCTATTAAAAGAGAGGGAGAAGATAAAAGCTTTGATAGTGAGTCAGTAGACTGTGAGCCTAATTAATCCTGTTGTTTAACCAGCGTGGAAGCGGATCCGAAATAGAACCGCCTATCTGAACCCAGACCTATAATCTAATGCCTGTAAGACAGATGAACAAAAAATGTATGGAGAAAAAAAGCTACATTTTGCTGTCTTCCTCCCCTCCTCTGTCCCTCTCTGTCTCCAGGTTCCTGTTATCCACTGGCACCTGTCCACAAAGAGGATCCTGACCATGGAGTTTGCTGAGGGGGGGCAGGTCAACGACCGGGACTACATGAAGAAACACGGCATCAGTGTCAACGAGGTACTGCCTGCTGGTTACAGAAGCTAATAGTTTATTGACTGATAATCCAGGTGCTATCACACACACACTAACAGCTTGTCTACACAACTCGCGCAGTGAAAGCAGCATGTTAGCAGCAGCTTTAGTCCCCCGCCTGCACAAGATGCACTCAGGCCATAGACTGTATAATAAATAGTTGACTGAACTTCCAAAGCCAATGCAGAAGTGCCTTAAACCTGCATTCCCTCTAATGGCCAGCAGGGGGCGACTCCATTGGTTTAAAAAAGAAGTCTGATAGTATGGAGTTTTATAGAGAAATTATACTACTTCTCACTCAGTGAGCTCAGTAAACAGTTTCCTAATTAATTCCTGGTCTCAATCTCTAGTTTAGTCTTCTTCCATGCATGATGATGTTCATTTAGTAAATGATAGGTCCCAGGCAAGCTTGGGGGCGAAGTCATTCTCAGTGTGTCCGTCCAGCTCAGCGCACCAAACTCAGATCAAACTGTCAAACTACACAGTGCTGATCAAATATGGATCCAGATTCTGTTTTTTTTAAACTGTTTCTCACTTAAAATATTTTCAGAAACATTTTAGTGTACTGTTTATCTGGAATACGAGAACGTGTGTGAGCAGGCGAGCCACTATTGTTCCTTATGGACAAGTTGAAACCAAGCACAACCACTCACCTCACAGTACGTCACTGCTGCTGGCTCCAATAAAACATGAGGCCTTGAAACGGTACTCCACAAACCCAAAGGTGATGTCATGGTAAGTTCATACTTGGGTTAGGCACAGTATGTGAGTGTATGTCTCCCACGTTTTGGCAGTGCTAAGAAAAACACACAAAACACAAGAAGTGGCGTTCCATGCGTGAAACTGAAGAAAATAAACATGAAGCGTAAAAATATGCTTCAGGCCCTGCCTAATGCGTATAGCTACCAGTGAAATGCAAGCCGTTAGATGGTGGACAGCTGTGTAGCTTAAAATAGAAGCAGATCTGTTCTGTCACACACAGGTGAGACAGGCGACTGAGAGGAGCATCCGAAAGGACTCTTGCATGTCCTTGTGTGTAATCTCTACTGTATCGTCCTTTTCTGTTTTATCGCCTTTTGATGCATCCTTTGAATAATTAAAAAGCTTGTGTGAAAAAAAGAGGGAGGGAGAAAGACCCACAGCAAAACTGAAAATAGTAGTTTTTACTTTCTTGTTCACTAGTTCACTAGTTCTGACAAAAACTGCTGATAATATTACATTTAAGGTTTTAAAGTACATAGGTTTTAAGATTGCAGCTGAAGTTGCACCAATCCATCAAGGTAATAATATAATATCTGATGGCTCTGTGTCTGTCGGCTACTTTGAGAGTCCTCTGCCACCAGGTGAGGCCCAAAAAAATTACTGAATGCAGTGAACCTTACACTGACCTTATACTGCCTCAGAATATATAATGAGATCAGCCAGTGACTTACTTCTTAAATACTACATTATATCTAAGGATTATCAGCAAAGATATGGATCCTGCAGCCAGTCATATCCTGGTAACAACAGACTGATTTTACATTTGTATTTATTTATTTGCCTAGTTTGGCTTCTTTTGTGGGGCTGCAACCAATGCAGTTTTTATTATCATTTAAAATGTTGACAGTTTACTTAATAAATTGTTTATTATACAAAATGTTTTGCTTAAGTAGATTGTATGTTAAAGTCTTCAACATCTGACTGTTCCACAGCCCAACCGCACAACAGGAACATAGTCACTCACACACAAATACAGACAGAGACACACTATCTGAGCATTAAGCAGTGATGATGAGTATTATAAGACAGCTGATGAGATGGATAGAGGACATAATAAAACACACACACACACACACATACACATACACAGAAAGACAGGATGGATAGAATTATTAGGTGGCCGTAGTGCATGCTGGACCCTGTGTCTGTGTGTATAATCACAAGATGGATGAGGGCCCAAATAGACTTTCCTCTGAGCTCAGCCCCTTGACGTGACCAGAATTGGCCAGTGCTTTGCTCAGTTTTTTTGCATTCTCCACCATATTGGTAAGATTTAAGATATGACTGCATACACTGAATGGACTACAGTCATAAATCTCAATGGTACAAATGTTTCAGTAGAGGCTTTTACAATGTGCAATTCTTCTAAATTGGCTTTATTTCTAATATTATGTAATATAATTTCTAATATTTCTAATGTTATCTCAGCTGCAAATTAAACTCAACATACTAATGAGGTTGCCCATATACTATCATCTTGAGGATTGCTTTACAGATTGCTGATGTCACAAATGTCATCATAGTGATATCCACGCTTCACCAGTTCCACTGGTTTGTATGTAGATGTATTTTTCTGTGGGGCGTCTCACTATGTCATTCATCATTTATCATTCATCATATTGTCATATCACCCAACCGCTACCAATAAAGTAATGGAATGAATTCCAAAAAGGCTTTTTAAGCAATAGATCATGGATTTGCAGTTATAGTGCAGGGTTTAGGGCTGAACAGTGTTTGCCACTCTGGCAAAGCTTAATACTGAAAAAATTTACATATTTTTCAGTAAGCTTTCACAAGTAAGCAATCAGTTTGTTTTTTATCTATCAAAAAATTGGGCAATGATGCAATAAAAGAATGTAGTGGAGCTTAATGATATGTGCAACCTTGAACCTGGCAGAGCCAGCACACCTGAGCAAGAAAACACTAGAGACAGTGGGAGCACAATCAGAAGCCACGCTGAAATAATTCAAGCTAATAAGATGATTGAAGATGGAGTTACCAACAAAATTGATGTAGTCTTATTTGCTGTTGGAGAAGTTTAATATCAAGTTGCTGTTAAGTTAAATAACGCGTCTTACAATGTGTACTGTATATTCAAATGAACAATGTTTACCTTCCCTCCATGTTTTGTGCACCCAGAACTCCACGCTCAAAATGTACCATTTGGCAGACTTTTGCCTCTTGCGATCTGACTACCCATGGAGGCAGGCACACAAAAACTGTGAAAATACAATTTGTAGTTTGAACAACAACCCTACGGCCATGGAAAGTTAGATTGAGAGATGCTAAAGATGACTGCAGCAACAATACGGGAGGCAGGGCGGATAGATTACAATGATAAAAACAAGGTCCACTTGGCTTGTCTTGGGTTAAGTCTCTTGGCACTGGCTGTAAGGACTGCTCCCACACCTACGTCAGAAGAATCAACCTCCATGATAATGAACCTCTAGTGTCTGGAAATGAAAACAGTGTGAATCACTGCTTTAACTGCTGGAAGGCTTGCTCAGCTTCAGGCGTCCAAGAAAAGGCAGAGGAGCACGAAGTAAGGGCTGTAAGGGAAGCTGCCATTGAACTGAAGCCCTGAATAAAACAGCAATAAAAGTTGGCAAATCTCAGGAACTGTGGGAGTAGTTTGACTGATGTAGGTTGAGCCTAGTCAGCAACTGCTTACACCTTGGTACATGGGGTCCCAGCTTTACCAGGTGAGCTACCAGGGCGCCACCGGCAGTAAGGGTTCTTAATTGTGATTTGAATAAGGCTTCTGAAGTCAGTGAATAGTCTTAATGTGCCATCCCTCTTACCTACAAAGAAGAAGCCTGCTAGATGCCCCAGCAGGTAGAGCATGTACCACATATCAAGGCCTCAACCCATCACTATGTCACCCCCTTTCTGTCTCATCACCTTTCCTGTCCAAATCAAGTCAAATTCCCAAAAATCTAAATAAACCTCAACGGGATGTGGGATGATAGATGAAACCTCTGGGGTTTCGACAATTCTTGTCGTTTATTACTAACTTATCAACCTTATCAAGGTTGTATGGCAAAATGCGTCCATTTACAGGTACACTGCAGGTAAAGACAAGCAGGGCACAGTGTGATGACATTTGTCTCCTATCTAGGCAACACAGTATCTTAACAGGTACATTTCACAATTCTGACCATGCAGAAGAGCATACTGAAGCCTAAAGTAAATTTTGCCCTGAATGCTTTCGTGTATGTGTTTCTGGGTGTGAGCTCATTTGCACCCTCTACTGTGTATAGACATATGCAGAGTGTTTAGTATTTCTGTAAAAAATGTTTAATCTGTTGGCCTGGTCTGAGAAATATAAAATATAAACCAAAGTATGAAAAGAAAACAACAGTATATGGTGTGTTAGTGAAGCTGAGAGAGGTCTGGAAATATGCTGACATTTTGTGAAGCAGACAAAAACAGGATATTGCAGACCAAATGGGAAAGAGAATAACAGTGCATCTCACTCTTTCCTCTGTTTGCAATCCAGCAGTAAAATCATGATCACCTGTGTGTGTGTGTGTGTGTGTGTGTGTGTGTGTGTGTGTGTGTGTGTGTGTGTGTGTGTGTGTGTGTGTGTGTGTGTGTGTGTGTGTGTGTGTGTGTGTGTGTGTGTGTGTGTGTGTGTATCTCTGTGTGTCTGTGTGTGTCTGTGTGTGTGTGTGTCAACTTCACTTTCTCTCCAGTGACAAGCTGAGGAGCTCTAATTAATGGCAATTAGTGTCTGCCCATTCTTCTCTGAGATAATTTGTTGGCTCTCTGCTTTCTTACTAAATAGGTGTGTGTTAGTGTCTGTACACTTGTATTGCAATCTCTGTGAGGACCAATTTCAGTTATTAGTTCATAGTGAGGACATTTCTGCATTGTAAGGACATTTTTGTCGGCCCTCACTACTTCAATGAACTGTTTGAAGGTTATGGGTTCTATTTTGGCGTCTGCAGACGATGCAGAACGTAGTGTCACACCAGCAAATTGGTTATTTCCTAGACACTGCTGGTTTTGTATCTTGGTGACTCGCCATGTACCCTAGTGGGAGGAGGTACAGTATCTCACAAAAGTCCACCCCTAACATTTCTGCAAATATTTCATTATATCTTTTCATGGGACAACACTGAAGAAATGACACTTTGATACAATGTAAAGTAGTCAGTGTACAGCTTGAATAACAAATGTACTGTCCCATCAAAATAACTCAACACACAGTCATTAATGTCTAAACTGCTGGCAACAAAAGTGAGTACACCCCTAAGTGAAAATGTCCAAATTGGGCCCAAAGTGTCAATATTTTGTGTGGCCACCATTATTTTCCAGCACTGCCTTAACCCTCTTGGGCATGAAGTTCACCAGAGCTTCACAGGTTGCCACTGGAATCCTCTTCCACTCCTCCATGACATCATCACGGAGCTGGTGGATATTAGAGACCTTGCGCTCCTCCACCTTCCGTTTGAGGATGCCCCACGGATGCTCAATAGGGTTTAGGTCTGGAGACATGCTTGGCCAGTCTATCGCCTTTACCCTCAGCTTCTTTAGCAAGGCAGTGGTCGTCTTGGAGGTGTGTTTGGGGTCGTTATCATGTTGGAATAATGCCCTGCGGTCCAGTTTCCGGAGGGAGGGGATCATGCTCTGCTAGAGTATGTCACAGTACATGTTGGCATTCATGGTTCCCTCATTGAACTGTAGCTCCCCAGTGCCGGCAGCATTCATGCAGCCCCAGACCATGACACTCCCACCACCATGCTTGACTGTAGATAAGACACACTTGTCTTTGTACTCCTCACCTGGTTGCCGCCACACACGCTTGACACCATCTGAATCAAATAAGTTTATCTTGGTCTCATCAGACTAAGGACATGGTTCCAGTAATCCATGTCCTTAGTCTGCTTGTCTTCAGCAAACTGTTTGCGGGCTTTCTTGTGCATCATCTTTAGAAGAGACTTCCTTCTGGGATGACGGCCATGTAGACCAATTTGATGCAGTGTGTGGCGTATTGTCTGAGCACTGACAGGCTGACCCCCCGCCCCTTCAACCTCAAGCACTCATACGTCTATTTTCCAAGGCCAACCTCTGGATATGACGCTGAGCACGGCGAGGGATGTTCTGAGTGGAACCTGCCCTCTTAAACCGCTGTATGGTCTTGGCCACCGTGCTGCAGAGTTTCAGGGTGTTGGCAATCTTCCTTTAGCCTAGGCCATGTTTATGTAGAGCAAAAATTCTTTTTTCAGATCTTCAGAGAGTCCTTTGCCATGAGGTGTCATGTTGAACTTCCAGTGACCACTCTACTACAACAACAACAACAACAACAACAACAACACTAACGAGTCACATGACACCGGGGAGGGAGAATGGCTAATTAGGCCCAATTTGGAAATTTTCATCTAGGGGTGTACTCACTTTTGTTGCCAGCGGTTTAGACATTAATGGCTGTGTGTTGAGTTATTTTGAGGGGACAGTACATTTACACTGTTATACAAGGCTGTACACTGACTACTTTGCATTGTATCAATGTGTCATTTCTTCAGTGTTGTCCCATGAAAAGATATAATGAAATATTTGCAGAAATGTGAGGGGTGTACTCACTTTTGTGAGATACTGTATGAGTATGAGTGGTGTACTGCAAACTTGTTACCGAGAATGGGTGCATCTTGTCTGCATAACTGACTCTCTTTACAGCTATCCGAAGGCAGCAAGTATCTATTCCACCAGCAGCAAAAACAAGCCTGTATTATTGCTATCGTTGTTGCATGGCCTGACTCAGGTTAAACTCTTAGTCAGAATCAGAGTAGTAGGCAAATGGGACACTGCTGGAAAGTAGCAGGGTCAGGTTTCGGAGCTAATAAATTACGTGGTATCAAATCAGATACTGCATTTTAGGCAATATCAGTGGAATTTTCGATACTGGTATTGGAACAACAGCAATACCAGCTTAAAATAATCATTTCTGAAATAAAAAACATACAACATGCAAAAAACTAGATGGCATTTTTAATTTGACTCTTATATATGGTCACTAAGGTGGTTGTTACTGCAGAGGGTAAAGTATGGATCATTGTAATCGTGCATTATTACACACCCAAAACCTTGTCCAGAAAAGTGAATTAAACTTAAAAAGAGTCATCATCTGCTCTGGGCAATATATTTGAGCTACTGTATATGCTCATATTTTCCTTTTTGAAACTCTGCATGTCCCAGATAAGATAAATAAGTTTTCATTGAGGAATAACTCTCGACAGGCTTCCCAAACTGCCAAATCATTTTCGTGAAATCTATTTGGATTTAAATGTGCATTCTGTGTCGTGTTCTCAACAGATCTCGGAGAGCCTGGGTAAGATGTACAGTGAAATGATCTTCGTCCACGGCTTTGTTCACTGTGACCCGCACCCGGGCAACGTGCTGGTCCGAAAGTGTCCCCAGAGCAAGAAGACCGAGATTGTCCTGCTCGATCATGGCCTTTATCAGGTGGGAAATCTCCCGGCTGCCGACACATAAAGAACATTTTGTTCTTATATTGCAGTCCATTTTTCATGCTGCTGGCTGAGGCCTTGAGTAAATAGGCAGAGCAGCAAACACACAGTCAAGATGCACATAAAAAAAAAACAAAAAAACATGGATGCCACACACACTTTTAGTAGAGCTACATCAGGATAAAAGCTTTTTGATAAACAACTCATTTAATGCAGAGTGCAGTGTGCTGGGTTTGGATTGGTGCATCGCAGCGAAAAATCATACAGGCGCATATGTGCACTCCAATGTTTTACACACACATATGCTCTTTAATTGTTAACACACTTGCTCCTACATCTACACAGGTCTAACATGAGTTTGTCTACTGCTTGTTCCTGTATTCATGATGTGAATTCAGTGATAAATATGCAAATCCTTCATCTTTGACACACACACACACACACACACACACACACAAGACACAGACTTCCCTCAGACCATAATGGCACCAATTTATTCCTAATGACTTCTGATTTCAGCTGTCATTTTGGAGTAGAATATTAATCCACTCCTCATATACACACACACATACCCGCACACTAATTTCCACTGTCATTACTTGTTGGCTACTACACATTGCGTATGCGTCTAAAGTGCTGTACTTGGTCTGGAAATGGCAGAGGGCTCTAAGCTTGGGAATCAACTGTGTCTACAGAAATGACTGTAAAAAGAGATTACAATTATTTTTTCTACTGTTGAGCTAGAGCTAAATGTCCATACATTACATGCGTGATTACATAAATACATACAGAACGCATCGTTTTACTCACAAATGAACAACATGCTAAATATAATAGATTAAATTTTTACTGCTCTACAGGAGTTAGTAGTTAATAGTATGTATCATAACCAAATGCCTAAAGTACTGTGCCTTAACCTGTTCAGAACCAATTCCAAATCCCCAAAAATATTGTAATGGTAGATTTCTACTCTAAATGCACTCATAAGTCATTATTAATACAAACATTTATGAAATTCTTTATTATGTGTAATTTCTTTCTAATTTTTATAGATTCAAATGTGCCTTTTGCTTCCTCCTTGCTTCATGGTCGGCCATGCTTGCTGAAAAAGTGGGTGATTCTCTGCTGTAGTCCACTTTAGATGATGTGTAACACTGTGATCGACTTATAGACATCCAATCACAGTGCATTCAGGTGGAGTCAGATGACAGCAATCATAGATCTAGACATCCCAGAAAGGTTTATGTCAATTGGAATGGATGGGGGATCTGAACAGATATGCTTGCCTAATCGCTGAATTATACAGTGATGATCTTCACCATAAGAGTGTGACAATTTACACATTGAAGTAGATCAAATCCTAACAAAAGACACTTCCCCTCCCTCCTGCCCTCCAGGTCCTGCAGCCAGACTTCAGGTTGGACTACTGTCGGCTGTGGCAGGCTCTGATTAAAGGTGACATGCCTGGGGTGGAGCGTTACAGCCGCAGACTGGGAGCTGGAGCTCTGTACCCGCTGTTTGCCTGCGTGCTCACCGCTCGCTCCTGGACCGCCGTCAATGCTGGCATCAGTTCTGTGCCTGTCACACACTCTGAGGTATGAGCTCACACACACACGTATGTGGTATTTATTAAAATGATAAACTTTATTTATGTTACAAAGTGCTTCACAGTGGTTCAAGGGGTGCAGGCATTGCAGTAAACATCCAAATCTAAAAACAAAAGCAACACTGAAACAACAATAAAAACATGTAAGAGAAACGTCTAAAGCCTTGAAACCTAGAGGCTGGAATGTTCCCCCAACTGGCTCAGGAGGTAGAGCAGACGTCTGCTAATCAGAAGGTTGGTGGTTCCATCCCTGACTCCTCCTCTGCATGTATGAGTCTCCTTGGGAAAGAAACCGAACCTCAAATTGCTCCTGATGGCTGCCATCTGTGTATGAGCAGAATTAGTTTGTTTCTGATGAGCAGTTGGCACCTTGCATGGCAGCCTGCCATCAGTGTATGGGTGAATGTGACATGTAGTGCTAGAAAGGTGCTATGTAAGTGTAGTCCATTTACCATTTGTCTTGGATAGATTCAAGATCAAGGTGCTCTTGTCTGCACTGGTGAAAGCAGCGTATCAGCAGTGCGGTAATCAACACAATGAATGTAGTTACAATAAAGACTTGAAAAGTAAAAATACACTTTGGATTGCAGTCACTCCTGCAAAGCCCAAGTGAAGTGCTTTCCGTTAGAGGGCTGGTATTGACAGCTGTACGGATTCAAACTGAAGTGCATCAGTTCCATCAGACACGCATGAGACAACGACTGGAACACACGGCTGAAATGCATCCGGTGTGGACAGGCTGTTAGGGCTGGATATCTGGTGGATGTTTCAGAACCTCCAAGTGAAACTGAAATCTGGCTGGCAAAGTAGGAGGCTTTATTTTAGCTTCAATAGCATTTTGGATTCAGATTTAGGCTCAGAGGTAAGGATGATGATTTTAAGGGGTGGATAGTGCTGATTGCTACCAAATCTTCTTTGCATTATCATGCCACAAAGCTTATTAGAGGTTGCATAAGGCTTGTTGATATCTTATTTGGTTTTCAAGATATTGACCATTGAACTTCAGAAGAGGCTTGATTCAGTACATAAATGTACATGTCAACAACCATTGGGCCAGTCATCTCAAAACTCATGGGATATATCTACATAAGTACCTGAAACATTCAAACTGACCACTAGGGGACGCTAAAAGTGCAAAAAATGGTTGTGGAATAACACAAATCAGACTATAAATCAGAACTGGTTTGTTGGTTAATGCAACAGGCAGAGTTGCATTTGTGTTTAGACAGCGGTGTTAATTTCTAACTTTGTGTCAACGGCTTGTATTTTGTCTGTCCCAGTTTGATGTGAAAGAACTTGACAGAACTCCTCCTCCTCCTAAAGCCAGGCCTTATCACCTAACATCAGTGTTAGACCTCATTAATGCTTTTGTGGTTTAATGAGAGCAAAAGTCTGGAGCCAGGTTAAGTATGTGGTGGGAAGACTGAAAACCAGAAGAGTGGAGGCCATTATACCAGCATGTTAATGCCCGTGGGTTGGGACCATGTCCACATACTTTTGGCTATGGAGTTTGGCAAGTTATTTTAGCAAATATTCCCAATGCTCATTTCCCATCCAAGGAGACCCAAATATTAACACTAAACGTTAAAATGACTTTAATTGCAGTTTTTTCTTAACGATGAGATTGTTTTTAGAATCCACCAGCACAAAACTGGTTTGTATGTGTTTGTAAGTGTCCCATTACCCACAGGGGTTCCACAATGCCATCTGTGCTCAGGAGAGAGTTTATTTATACCTCTCTTATGCAACATTTTGAAGCTGGCAAAAGTACTACACAACAGTCTGCTACAGTGTGCCACCCCCTCACACATGACGGGCAGTACAAGACAGAATTTTGCTGGGACCAGTGCATGAACAACTCCCCCGTGTCTTTTTTTGGTATTTCTGAAAATGAAATGTATATTTTTGGGGGAATCATGAGGTAGAGTTAAATCAAGACAGAAATAGCAATGAAAAAGTACTGATAATATTCTCATGTTGCACTATAGCTCAGTAAACCATATATACAGTAAAAAGTACCACACATTAAAGGCTGAGCGTGTATCTGCAAGACTTCGAGTTGTAGGAGAATTAGAGTACCATTGGAAGGGTGAAAGGCCGGTTACCAAGACTTGAGCCAGAACATCACAAACCTGGAATAGAGCCGGGAACATCAGCCAGATGTCAGGAAATAATGAGCGTTACCACACACACAATCATACACATAGTGTTGATGCCAAAAAGCATGTTCTTAAATGGCCAAAGTACAACATGAGATATGATCCTTTCCTGGTAAGTTAGGTTTGCCAAGAGTTCTGGAAGACCAGTATGCCCATACACACACACAGCCTGGTTTTTGTATAAAAGGCATGTAATGATCTGTAATATCTGGTTAATATCTCTGACTGCGTTGGTGGTAAGATCTGTCTGGAATAAAGACATTCCCCATCTGACATCTGTGTCTCGGACATCTGATTCTGTTTTGATTCACCTCTTTCTGCCACAACAGAGTTTAAAGCGTTAGTCAGGATCCCCGCAGCCTGCAGTGATGGACGAGGACAAACAACACACTGGTGATGAAGAGTCTTAGAGCACTAAAAGTGGGGCATCCTGATAGCTCCCCTGGTAGAAATGGTGCCCCATGTGCCATGGCTGAGTCCTTGCTGCAGTGGCCATGGGTTTGGCTCTGACCTGTGACCTTTTGCTGCGTGTCTTCCCCTTTCTCTCTCTCTCCTTTCCTATCATTCTGCTGTCACTATCAGTTAAAGGCAATATAGCCCCTCCGCCCAAAAAAAACAGAAAAAAACAAACACTTAAATCAAAGTTTGTCTTGAAGGTGGTGCTAGAGAACAGGTCATGGAGGCATTGAAATAAAAATTGAAAGAGTTCATCAGCATGCAGCAATGTGATCAGCATTTATTCCGAAATGACAATATTCCGCATTTGATACGGGTTATGTAAACAGCATATTCCATTTGGATATTCCAAATTAGCCCCGAATGTAGCCTTGCCTGATTAAGACCTGTGGTATATGCCAATATTATTCGGGTTTTAGGAGCATTCCTTGGACATGTCTACAGCACATTCTGAATATGTGTCAGAGATGGTATAAGGTTGGAAATTAATTATTTTGTTTTGGAGTGCAATGCAGTTTTTTTATATTGGGGAGTATACTCATAGGCCACATTCAGACTGCAGACCAAAGTGACCCAAATATGATTTTTCTTCTCATACATATGTGTCTCGGACCTGATCTGACAGTGTGAACAGCACAAACCACATGGAATTGGATCTTTTCAATTCTTTAGATAAAAATTCTAAGGTAACAAAAACACAGTTTCTGCCAAGAGATCTTTCTAAATGTTACACACTGGACCTTTAAGTCATGCTATAACAAAAATAAAAGTTTTCCAAAAGGGAAGCATAGCTAGGTAAAACCATTACCTTGATGATGTGTTGGAGGTGCACTGGTTCACACAGACACAGCTCTTTCCCTAACAGCTGTTTGTGTAAAATGAGCGATTTGGATGAATTCTGAGCAGATTATTTCCTGTGAATATTACATCAGAGATAAGTTTTCCTGATATTTTTAGGAACTTTTTATACAATTTATGTCTGTATAATGTATTGTTTTAATTTTTAACAATCACGCCAACTTAATAGGCTTCTTTGTGATAAACTGACGACACAGCTCTTCATCTAACAGCTCACTGAAACACATGTCCATGGCTTGACGTGGCTCAGCGCAATAAGCACAGAGTCTGTGGACAGAAAGCTTTGAGGCTACAAAGTGACTTCAGAGGAAAAAAGAAATGAGATCATGTCCTTGCAAAGAGGTTGGATAGTTTTGGGGACTGGTTCATTGATTGCCAGGTTGCACACTATTTAGGGAACAGACTAAGCTTGTGTGTGTGTGTGTGTGTGTGTGTGTGTGTGTGTGTGTGTGTGTGTGTGTGTGTGTGTGTGTGTGTGTGTGTGTGTGTGTGTGTGTGTGTGTGTGTGTGTGTGTGTGTGTGTGGTGTGTGTGTGTGAATTTTTCTGCATTCTTAACCATAATAGCTGTATTGCAGTGTGAGAATGTACAAGGTGTGCTCCTGTCCCTTCCTCTGTCTGCCACTTTAGCCGAGATGAAAGCACTCCCATCAATCTAGGCCATCTGTCTGTGTCATTTATATTCCCTTTTTTATACACACACACACACACACACACACACACACAAGGCAGACACACACACACACACACACACACACACACACTAGGCAGACACACACACACACACACACTAGGCAGACTTCACTCTAGTGCCCTCTACTTGAACACACTTGTGGATTGTGTAGCACTCTGGAGTTAAGAAGACATTTTGAGACATTTCTGCAGCCACAGCCACTCATCTGCTTTGCTCTGTCTTTGTTATCTCCTCTCTCCTGTCCTGTGTTGTTCTCGCTCCCCTCTTTTTTCCCTCTCTTCCATCCACTCTCTTATGCATGGATCATTTTTTAAGTCCTGCTTCTAACAACCAATGATGCATTCCATTAGTGTTAATGCAATCAAATGCACGAAGTGAGCGTTGAGTGCTTTTAGAGCTGTGGCTTTTTGCTGCCTTTCTTTCACATGCAGGAATATTTGTCTTTTGAATGAGGGTTTCTCTCCTAAACACTGAAAACAAAGTAATTAGTTCTACTTTGTCATATTTTCTGATGTGCTCCTTTGTTGTTGATCCGAACTCAACACTTCCTCCATGTTTACCTGTTGTCTTGATAGGTTCAGCATAATGTACATTCCTGCAGCACTAATTACATCAATACAACAACGACGCCATGTCATACTCACCACTCTGCTGCTGCTCTCTTTTCAAAACAGGTACTGTTCTCAATCACAAATTCCAGTTGCTCTTACCTTGCAGCTTTTTCAATCACTGTTAACAGGATTTCCATTCTTTTTAAGAAATCCTTTCCAGGACATTTTCTTTGACAATACAGGACACACAAATTGTCATAAAATGTACCCTTA